AACGAACAGTGGGATTGGCCGCCACATTATAACGTCCCCAATGCTGAAAGGGCAAGCATGTTTGGTGTGACGGGGATTCGAACCCGCGACCTTCATATTGCGAGTCGAGCGCCCTAACCACCTGGCCATGCCGGGCCATATTCTTGTATTTCTATTGTTAAAACGTTTTACAAAGTTTTGTAATTCCAATTGACGAAAAGCTCCTCAAAGAGTCAAAAAACTTGAGAGTTAATATAATACTTATATTTACTTTGATCTTTCTCTGATATATATACATATATGGGAATCAATACTTTAACCTAATCACTATATGATAAAACTACGTAAATAAAATAAAAATAATAATTTATTTATTCTATTTGGTTTAAGTATCTGCATTATTTCCAGCCCACGTTTTTAAACGGCATGCTCTTTTACCGTCATAAAAGTTTTCATACGTTCCAAAGAACTTCAATAATAGAAAGTGTGCACTTGCACGTGATTTGACTCGCCCTATGAGAATAGTAACGGGTTGATATTATTTCCTGTTTAGAGTATTTTATACTTCAACATTTCTTATTACCCACCCATATAATTATTATCCAAATAATCAGACTATACCCGTTTGCTTTAGTTACATGTTTGATTGCACGAACCTATCTTCGCTGACACATCACTAAGTATACGTTATGTTTGCCAATTGCTTCACTACAGGTAAACGTTCATAACTTTCAAGACAACGCTTGCTTCTTTTTCGTGTTTCAAGGAAATTAAATAAAACAGCATTTCGTGACTGTGAATATATAGAGCGGAACAAAAAAGCAATTTACAGAATGCTCATTACGCGAACCTGAAGAAAATGTAGTATTTGACGACTATTCACCTCAACACTTTCACATCAAATACAGGGCAAAATGAACTAAAGTAAGAGAAAACGAACCCAACTTGCGAGACTTCAAAAATGGTATAGTCATAATGATCCCCCATCTTACACGTGCCTACTTCACTAGTCTAGCCTCATAGTCTGGAAATAACATGGAAATGATATGAGCTCCAAACACCCGGAAAGTCGGAATATCGCCCAGGGCCAGGAAGATTTTCACATCTGCCACAAAATATGTAGAAATGCATAGAAATTACATTTTGAGGAATTTAGAACTCACGACAAAAATGTACTCAGTTGAAAGAGGTCATCTGCGGTCAATTCAATATGTAGTATGATTATTAACGTAAACCACAAAAAACAAATAAGGATGACGTTGTAACGTCGAAACATGTAGAGTCGTCAACTTTTTAAGGCCATAGATGGACCTAAATAAAATGTTTTTAATTGTGTACCAGTTTAACGTTGAATATTATTTATGATTTTAACAAATAAGGCATTAAAAGTTACTGAGCTAATTATCCACAGAGAATATTTTAATTAACACAGTTTACGCTCCTTTTAGTTCAAATGACTCGGTTATTAATTTGAGCTCTGTTTTGTTATTTTAAGAAACAAATAATTATTATTCTTTACGTATCCTGGATGTGATAATGTGATACAAGTGAAATACCAAAGTTTCTGAACCATAAAACGGTGTATATATATTTACCAAACAGTACAATTTTTTGTTGAATGAATGTTAAGAATGATTTTAGTAATTTTTAACATTTTTATGCTTGCAAGATTTATAACACATAACATATTTAAGTGTTCAAACGTTTAAGTACATGTTAATCTGAAATGTCATTTTCTTCAAGAATGAATAAGTTTATTCTAATAACAAAATTAATATATGTAATGGCAAATCATTGTAATTGTTTCTTTTCAATTACGATTACTGACACCGTATTTTTATGGGGCCACGTTTGGTTTTGTATTGGACTGTGGAGTTGAGATTCTGTAATTTGCGTCCCATTTCCGCAAGCGTTGTCTACTTTGAAACCGCGTATGCACGATAAGATTGTCTATCAGATCACATTATTCAGTCTGAAAAGAGTAGCCCAAGAGTTGGCAGAAGGTGGTGTTAACTAGCTGTCTTGCCTTTAGTTAAAACTTAGTGGTGGCTATCGCAGATAGCCCTCATGTAGCTTTGAGCAAAATCCAACGCAGCAAATTATCTTTTAAGCTGTTATATTTAATTCCAAGAACACCATAAGATTTTCGTAATGTTGAATTTTTATAACTGCTTTATTTGGTGAGACAAGATTCAAGGTTCGTGACATGTTGCTGCGAACTCTTCGGATACTTTAACATTATATAATATTCAATAGTGGGGTTTGATCGTCATTCTTGTAACACACCCACGGCTGCAGAATGAAGAGAAGGTTTTTGCGGCGGGTGTTCCTGACTAGCTACTTTCCATCTAGTCGTTGATCATTTTATATTCTGGGAGGGGTATGCGCAAAATTCTAGCTCAGAAAGAAATTTGTCGTATAGTCTGATTCACGCCCTCCTCTAAACACAAACAATAAGTCTGAAAGCTTATAACGCTAAAAATCGGGTTTCGAAAACTGCTGTTGGCAAATCACAGCCAACTCATTGTGTAGCTTTGTGCTTACCAACAACAAAAACAAACAAATCACTACTTAATACTAAAATTTATCATACAAAATTTCACTGAAGTCATTGACACAGGTGTGTGACTGAATGATCCAACTAGCCATGGTTAGAATGTTATGAAATATGTCGGTTTGTGGTGATGTTTCTGCTCTCATAAACCTTATATATCAAAATAGAAATTGATTATAAGTTCATGCGCATTTTCTAAAAAAACAAACAGACACTTTACATTTTTTCTTGCATTAAATAAAAGCGACACTCTCAAAAAAATTAATGAAAGTTAAACAAAATATTATAGATTTTAATATTAAGAAGTCCTACTTACATATAACTCCTACAAATATATTAGAATATGCAATTTAAAATTGCAAATTTTGAACTTCTGCTGTGCTTGTATCATGTTATAATGTGGTGACCACGTGGTTCTGATTTCCGTCTTGAGACCAGGGAGAATCAGATATTTAATGGACCTTTTCCTCCCTCCTTAGACAAATTATTTCAAGTACAAAATATATCATTATAAAACATATGCAAGTTCATTTTTGGAACTCACTACAATCAATTAGCTTATTAAACTACTATGAGAAACTACTATGAGTTTCGTAATGAACTGGCATACAACATGAGCAGTTTTTATTCAGTAATTAAACAGTATGCAAAACTAAAGGAAATATATATTTTTAATACAGAGTGTTTTTATTTATTTGTCGTCAATTTATGAACCATACCTGTATCTCATATTTTAGCTTTCGATAAATCATCTGTGTCACCCAGTGGGTCAACGGTAAGTATACGGACTTAAAACACTAAAACTCGGGGTTCGATTCTCCGCAGTGAACAGGGTGCAAATAGTCCAGTGTAGCTTTGCGCTAAAAACAAACACCTCAATATATTTTTTAAATTCAATCATAGGTCTGACTATTGATCTCCATCGTCCTTTATAAACACTGAGAGCTTGAGGATGTAAAAAAAAAGAAGTTTTAGCGCTAATTAATAAATATTTCGATATTATTTGTCTATATTTCTAGACTATTTTTTACAATAAACAATTGTTGCAACGTTTGTATTTCAATAAAGCTTGATTCTCATTAATTTTTAAATTGTTTTCCCCAGCCAATATTTGTATCTGAGTGGCAAAGCTGATTATGTTATTTAATGGTAGGACATAGTCCAGTGGTTAGCGTGCCGAACTGTTTTAAACCAAAGGTCCACGATTCGTGTCCCATTGCCACAAAATCAAGCTCAGCAATTTGGAGCCATGGATTCGTTATAAGGAGTGACTTTCAAGTCTCACTCTTCGATTAGAGTAACACGAGAGCTGGCTGTTGGTTCTGTTGACTAGCTGCCTTTTCTCTAGTCTATCAGTTCCAAATGAGAGACGGCTAGTGCAGATACATATTGTGCAGCTATAGGGGAATATCTGAAATAAACAATTAAACAAACAATCCTTTTCTTAATGCTGAAATGTAAAGCAAATTATTATACAACTCGATATATTTATATTAAAAATTAAAGTAGCGAGTTATATAAAGTTCCATTTTAAATATATCGTACTTAAATACAGTTAACTTCTATAGCTTTTAATAGAAAAGATAGAAAATAATGTTCTAGTTGCTTTCAAGTCACACAGCTTTACAAATATAACTGAAGTGATACAATATTTTTGAAAGATCCGAAAATAATAATAACATATGCGATGATCAAAGGCGTCGCTAGGCGCTGGCACACAGGGCTCGTGCCCTGATTCTATTTGATAGTGCCTCGAAACACCAGTTGATGTCTTTAAAAATCAAAATAGAAAACCATTATTGATATCATATTGAAACGCGCTTATGGGCCCAAGCCCCAAATCTTATAAACACCTAGCGACGCTTCTGGCGATGACAATTGATAAACGCATTGAGAACGACGGATTGAATGGCCGGCCTCTACAGCAAAACTTACTGGACATAAAATGAACTTCAACATCAGAATAATTACAGTACTCGTTCTTTATAAAACACAAGCCTTTCACAGCATCCACAGGAATCAATGACCTAATACGACAAAAAAAGAAAAGAAAAAAGAGAGGCGCAACAATTAAAAACATTTAAAAAACTATAATTTACGAAAAGCGACTGAATGAGTTGGTAGCGCCATCTCTTGAATATTTGTTTTAGTGTGTCGGAAAAGTATAATAAAATAAAACCTCCGAGTGAAATAGCGAGAGTGGGGACAAATATACATACTACGTTTTGTAATTCTGTGACGCTACACTAAACTGCATTTTATAATATCCATGTCTTGATGGCCATGGCTAAACTTGTGTAAAGTCTTAGAGTAATACAAATTGGGAAAACGTACGTTTATCCGTCGGAAATGCACTTAGCAGAGTCAATTTTTTTCTCACGGTCACCCGTATTTCGCTATCTCCAAAGTGCCGTCATTCAATTGGCTAAAAATGTATGTCCCTGAAGGTGCAAGTATTGTATATGTTTGGTTACATAGAAAATCAGTAAAACAATTTTTAAATATGGATTCGATAGACCTTAGATTTAGACCGTAGCTTGAAATAGCACAACTCTATACATTTTGTCAAATTTCAACAAGCTCTACTAACACCAACAAAATAGTTCGGGAAAACGTATGTTTGTTCCTTAATTGTGTATGAATATAAAAAAGAAGTAAATAAAAATGATATACGAAACCAATTATATTGTTACGTCTCTGTTCGTTAGTTAGTTTGAACGCACTTGATGGTGAATATTATCCATCCTTTCCGATAACACTTTCACGAATTCTGACACGTTTTCAGACAACTCTTCGTAAGGTGGGCGTCCTGTTAACAGATCCACTGGCAACCGAAGTTCCCGACCAAATATCAACTTTGCTGGAGTGTATTCAGTGGCTTCATGCTCTGCTGTGCTATAGGCCATCAACAGTGGGGGAGTAAGACATCCCAGTCATCTTCGTGGCTATTACAAACTTTGCC